AGAGCGTGCCAATAGTGCTTGTTGCTATGAGGATTCTGGATTGCATCACAGTCCATGGGCAGCCCAGGATGGGCCATTGCAGAGGGACATTTTGGTCACTGGAATGGCCCAAAATCCAGAAGGCATGAAAGGGTGTAAAGCCACTTTTGCCATACTCTCCTGTAGGCTTCAACTACTGTGCTGAGTTTTTGTATGAATAAAATTGTATAAACTATTTAGATTCCAAACATGCTATCCAAAATGCAGACACAGTAAATTCCCTAGGTCTGTTTCACCCTATCCATTCAGAATAATCATTTAAAACATTGCAGATTTATTTTAGGTAGCCTGGTAAGATATCAAGATACATTTCTAACATGGAACTGAAATAATAAATGCAGCACCTATTTGAACTTCTTTCTACCTTCCATCTACTGTTATGGTGATGATGATGTATTCTAACTTAAAAGACTATTGCAACCTCTAGTATAAAACCTCCCACCAGTGGAATGTCTTGATTTTTTTTAAAGCAACGATTTTGCTTATTCCACTGATATTTGCATTTGCTAAAAAACCAAACATGTTTATCCCTGAAACATGCTCTTTAATATGCCTATTTTAGGGCCCTTATGTTAATTACACTGGTCCAGACAACTTCATATCAAGCCTATAGCAAAGTCAAGAAGCCATTTACTATCCTTCATCTGTGTATAGAAATCCCATTATGTCACTCTGGTGGGAGATAAAGAGGCCTTTCCTCATGCTCTTTACCTACTGAATTTTATCACATAAGTTCTCTTAAAAATTAAAACACTGGAAACACGATTAATTGTTTTGTTAGGGAGGTGAATTTCCTGTACAAGTTTATCATCTACTTAACTACAAAGATTTTTTACTAGCATTTCCAAGGGAACACTCATAAGGCAGAAAGCATCTCAATGGACACGACTCCATTTCATTTTCAATAATGTTCTCAAACCTGAGCAAATCTCTCCTACTACAGTTTAACATGAACTGGAGGTCTTAATTCATCAGTGCCCTTAAAACAGATGAAGTTAGATTGAGAAGTTCACACACGGATGACCGAATCTCTTCAACTATAAAGTAATAGCATGAAAATGTTTGTTTCCCCCTTGAATCTAGAGAGTGGGAGCTTAATATTATTGGAATCGCAGAGGCAAACCTTTGCAGTAAATTGAGGCACTTAAGGGGATTTTAATAATACTATCTAGCACTTATACAACACTTCACATCTTCAAAGCAATCTACAAACATTAACTAATTAATCTTCAAAGCACCTATCGGGTAGTTATGCAAGCAATATTATCCCCATGTTACACCTGGGGAAACTGAGGCACACAGCAGTTATGCAATTTCCTCAATGTGACGGTCACATAATGAAGTGCAGCAGAACCAAGAAGAGATCACAGGAACCTGACTTCCAGTCATGTATTAATTCATTAGGCCACACAGCTTCCTTAGTGGGCTTATGAAAGTATTTATTGAGGCAACAATTTCCTCCACCCCAGAGAAATCAATTATTTTTTGTCAAGGTATAATCAAGGTGCAGACTCCAGAGAAAATAATACAAAAATAACAACAATAATGATAATAAGTAAATAAAAAGATTTTGCAGTCTGTTCAAAAGTGTCTGGAGGTCCGGATTTGGTCTGCGATACGCCCATGGACTATCCCTGCCTCTACCCCTTTACTGAAATGTTACATCATGAGGATAAGTTTCTCCAGGAGCAGAGAGAGAGAACAAAAAGAACAAGATCCAGAGCTACTAAGCCTAATAAGATTTTTAAGATCTAAGAAAATAAAAACAAACAAAGGCAAAACAAACAATCAGGCTGAACAGAGTGCCTCAATAGGTACCCTTCAGGAGCTAATTTCCCTAATCATCTCTCCTGCAGGTGAACAGAGAAGCCAAAGCATTTAATGGTCATTTTAATTCATTGTTGTTCTAGAAACCACATGTGCCACTGAGCTATCCCAGAAGCATTCCTGGTACCCCAGTGAGGGCCTTGGATCATTTGGCCTAGCAAACCCAGGAAGTGCAGCCTTAGCTTGTAGCTGGTTCCTATCCCTCATCTATCACCCCCTGGGAAACAGGGAAGTTACTCACTGTGTGAAGCATTGGGGTAGCAGGATGAGAAGAGAGATGGCAAGGGATGTGAGGGGAGTGTGTGGTAAAGGAGTGAAGAGATGGGACACAGGATATGAAGGGAAGGATGCAGCACAGAGGCAAATAAATGAGAGGTTTGGGGGCAGTGTGCAGCGAAACAAGCAAGCATAAGGGGCAAAGGGAGGGGGAAAGAATGGCACAAAGCGGGAGGTGAATGCAGAGGGTTAAGGAATGACGGGCACAGTGTGCATTGGAAGGCAGATGCAAAGGGTAAGGGATGAGAGGTACAGGAAGCAGGGAGAGAGAAGGGGGTGCAGGACAGGGGTTGGTGAGGCACTTGCTTTTCATACACAATCAAAGCACAGCAGCAGAGGAGGTGGTGGGAGGCGCTAAGTCTTGCACTGGGGGCTTTGCTTTTCACCTGGCCACTTTAGTGTTGATTTTATAATGAGTCTCGTGATATTTAGTGTGTTTGTTAAAGCCACAGGTCCGGTAAGCATGTGATGAGGTGAGACTCTTGGCTTTCATTTCCTACACAAATGAAGTTTCTAGCTCTCTTGGTTGCCCAGAAAAATGTAAGTGACCCAAGTGCAGCCTAAAGGTGGGAGAAACCAGAAGGCACATAGAAAGAACCCAATATTTATTATTAATTAGTTTTACGTCTCATGATTAAGGCTACGATTTAGTCATGGAGGTTGCAGAAGTCACGGAATCCATGACCTCCAGTGATCTCTGTGACTTCAGTCTGTGGCGGTCGGGAGCTGCAGGGTCCCCCGCCACCTGTGGGGGCAGGGAGCTGCGGGGTACCTCCGCCGCCTCTAGCAGCCCCCAGAGCTTCAAGCCACTGCAGGCCATGGGGTACCCTGCAGCTGCCAGCCGCCGCAGGCAGCGGTGAACCCCCAAGCTCCCAGCCCCAACAGGCCCCTGGACCTGTGGGTGGCAGGGGTACCCTGCAGCCTCCAGCTGCTGCAAGTGGCAGGGACCCCACAGCTCCCAACCCTGTACAGCAGGGGACCCCAGAGCTCCCAGCCGCAGCACAGCTGCTCCGCTGCCGGCAGTGTGGGGACCACAGATCCCCAGTTTTGTCACAGATATTTTTAGTAAAAGGACAGGTCAGTTTTCCCAGAATTTTTCTTTATTGCCCCTGACCTGTCCTGACTTTTACTAAAAATATCCGTGATAAAAGCTTAGCCTTACTCATGATTTTAAGGCGCTCATCAATTTGGGGGTCCCGACTCATGATTTTTTAAGTCGGGGGGCTGGCAATTCTGCCATTTCGGGGGTGGCAATGGTGTCTCTTCCTCCGGCCTCCCCAGTCCCTCTCGCACAGCGCTGCTGCTATCGAGGTACCCCAGCCTCCAGCTGCTTCCACGGCGAGCCTCCGCTCAGCTGTGGACACCCCCAGCCCAGCTGTGGACACCCCCAGCCCCGTGCACCAGCGCAGGGCTCCCCGCAGCCTAGGCCCGGCGTGAGGCGCCGGGGGAGAAGGAGGGTTAAATGCGGCAGCGAATGGGGCGCTGATCTGCCTCAGCCGCGGCCGGTCCAGCCCTGGGAGGGAGCGGGAGGAGGAGTGGAAGATTTGAAAGGGAGGCGAGCGAGCACTGGAGAGCGGCGCACGTGTGTGTGTCCGAGCGGCCAGGGGATGGCGGCTCTCCAGTCCCGGGCGGCGCGGCGGCAGCAGGCCAGCCAGCGAGACCCGCCAGCCGGCCCGCCCATGGTCGCCCGGGCAGAGAGGAAAGCCCCACTCCCTAAAATCGCAGCAGCAGAGCGTGCGCCCTGTCTGCAGCGACCCGGTAGCGTCTCCCGCTCACTCCCCCTCGCTCTTCGTCTCATCAAAGAGAGACAAGGGGGGTTGTGAGAGAGAGAGAGTCTCGCCGGCGAGCTCTCGCTCTGTGAATGCCGCCAGCCGGTGTCTGGGTAGACCTCACTACAGGCTTTTTCTGGATCCAATCCTTCACCTAGAGGACCCTGCGTTTGTTTGTTCTCACACATCCTCCCGGCGAATACACATGCACTTTGCAAACCCTGCCGGGCGACTCCATGCTCTGGCTGGCTGTACCCTCCAGTGCCTGGATTGTCAGGCACCCATCGCAGACATGATGTGCCCTGCATGGGAACTTTTCCTGCACGAGTTCCCCGCCTGCCCCTACGCAGTTTAACTTTTCTCTTTTTCTGATAAATCCAGGTCACTGAAGATCTCCCCCGATACAGACATGCATAAAAAGTTAATAGGAGCGTGGCTGCAGTTTAAGTTGTATTTGAAGCAGGGGACTCGACAGTTCCTTGTGTTTTAACTTCTTCTTCTGCGTTAGAGTTGGAAGGAGGTAACTGGAGCAGTGGGAAGGGGGGACGGGGGGAGAGACCCAGAAAGAGGAAATGGGGCACACGTACAGAAAAGAGTTGCAAGGAGAAAAGAAGGGCATAAGGGAGATGGCAAAGGTAGGGGTACAACAGCGAACGAGGAAAGAGGAACAAAAGTAAAATGGAAGGAGGTCGCAGGGAATCGTTTTATCTCATTATAAAAAATATTTTTATTAGTGGGATTGCCATCGGTGTTATATAACTTTTTAAAATTAGAAAAACAGGGCAGTCTCTCAATTTTAGTATCCTTGAGCTTTTATTGTGTGGTTTATGTCACTGGAATAATTCACACATACTCTAATGTGCATATGCACACACTGCTGCACATATTGGTATGTATGTTTATATATACATACACACACACACACACACACACCACTGCACCTCATCGGAGCCAGTAATATACAGAGACTGGCTCAGCGATTACCCTGTAGTCAATTATGTCTAATCCATCCATAGATATAAAACACACATGCTCAGAGAGAGAGAGCTACAGTAGCTACTGGTAAATACTACATTAACCATCACCTACCAATTCTCTTGCATCCACTGGATGGCTTCATTCTCGTTGAATTGCTTTTCAAATTCGTATTCTTGCAAAGTCAACACTGACATGTTCATTGGACCAATCTTCTGGGGGATGCCTTCCTAGGTCTAAAAATAAATATAGTATCTAAAGATCTTTTCCCCTGCGTGTCTTCCCTTCAATCGCCCCTTTCTCTCTCCCCCTCTCTTTCTGTCTCTCTCAGCTATATCCTTGATTTCGCATTGCTTTTCTCCTCTTCCTATCCTTCTCCACCCGTGTCTGGAGGTCTCCTCCTCTCAGCTTCTGCATCCACCCTGAGAGGAAATGGAGGCGTTGCGGTCTTAGTGCCCGTCTGTGTAGAGTTTAGCCGCTGCTTGCTCACAGTGACATGCATATACCTCCTGCAAGTCAAACGTAGCCCCCTGGCTAGAAAATCCTCCACCGTTTAGAACAAGACAGTCTGACTCATGCAAAAACTTGGAAGTAAAATAATCTAGACTAGGTTGCAGCATTAAGGGAATCACTCCTGAGTATTAGCTTCTTTGGCATCTAATCACGTTCACTTCCTTTATGGCTTTGAATGAGACACGCTGCCCAAGCTCCCAGCACTGGAAGCTACTAATGACCTTACCCACGATTTTCACGTTAGAGTAGTAAAAACATATACATCCCAGGAAACATTAAGTACTGCTAATATCAGAACAAAGCTTACAGCACATTTTCTCGGAGATTGGATTTGAAACTGAATATTAACATTTCTTTCCTTTGTGACAGGAAATCACCTGGGGGTGAGGGGAAGAGAATTAGATCAACTGTCCCAATCAAATTCTCTCTCCCTCTCTTCCCCACTACTACTAATTTGAATAATTTCCTTCAATTAACTTTGCAGATAATATTAATCGTTCCTCAGTCAGATTCTGCTCCGGCAACCACTGTTCAGCCTCCTGCACATCCTAACTACATTACTGGCCAGAAAACTCAGCCTGGTTAGTACAGGGTCCTAGATACAGCAGTGTTGGACACACTATAAATGCCTAGGGTGGATAGCACTAAAATAGATATTTATAGTTATGTATGTTACACATCACATATTACCCTTCCCCCCTTCATTTCCCTCACCTCCTACAACTCAGCTGTACCCACAGTTGTACCCACAAAATAATTTAAATAGATGCTGTCAGGTTAAAAATCATATGTGAAGACAAACTTCCTGAATTATTTTACAAACCCCACCTTATTTTTTCTTTATTAGCAAACAATTCCTTTTATGCTGCTTTTCCCCCTCCTTCAGTTTAAGCATTGATACTGGTCACTTTCACTTTTGTAATTAGTCATTTTCACCTCCAGGGTCATGCTCCAACACAATGATGCTCTAGTTCAGTGGTTTTCAACCTTTTTTCATTTGTGGCCATCCCTAAAAAATTTTGAATGGAAGTGCAGACCCCTTTGGAAATCTTAGACATAGTCTGCAGACCCCAGGGGACCACAGACCACTGCACTACTTAGAAGTTAAAAGTAAACATTCCCCAGCAGTGTTTGCAATCTATCTCCCACCACCACCACCATCTTTTTTGAATAATTTTAAATCATGGGAATATTTGATTGCTTTTAGGATTCTGATAAAGCATTCAATTCTGAGACCTAAATATCAGGCAGAATTTGACCTGACTGTGCCCTTAGCAGATGAATTTATATAATTCTTTGGTTGATGGGATGGGTGCAAAGGGTAATGAATTTGGTGGGCTTCAGGACCCAGAAGACAGCTCTCCCTCTGCAGTTGATGAAGCAGACAGGTTCTCTAGCTGAATGTCAAAATGGACTGCACCATTGAGATCTGAAAAGGGGGATAGGACTCTCCTATAGAAGGCCTATAGGGATGTTCAGTAAATTAAACAAAAACACTGAAATATAAGAGTCGGCTGAAGCGATCTTTAAATAAACAAGCAGGGACTGAGATTTAGGTCAAGGGCTAGTGTCTAAATGAAATGTTTATTTTATTGTGAAATATTTCAGAAAAGTCTAAATAAGTTAGGGGGGATCCACCCTTCATTTTTTCCAGTTTAAATGAACTACCTCTCTAGATTGTTCTGTAATTGAGGTATGAATGAAGTGATGTCAGACTCAGGAGAGTGTATGTACCTGTGTGTGCTCCGGCAGGGGGGATGAATAAGGAGGGGAAACCAGCAGGATGCTCATATGTTAATGCAGTTGCATGTGGCAAGTAAAATCACTGCAGACCAGGTGATCCAGTGGGCATGTGGTTGTAGCTGAACTTATCTATATTCACCTCTCCCCTACAGAGAGGCACTCACAGACAGGCACCCAAAGCTTTATGATGCTAGGACATGTATGTTGTTTAGATGACTGTTTAGAGTACAATCCACATTGTGGGTCAGGGAATCTAAGTTGCTAGCTGTTTAACCATCATTTTCTCATGATTACTGTTTATGGCACTTGCATGTCCATAGCTTTGTTTTCACATCTTTCCAGTCTCACCTATCACATCCTGATGTCATTGCCACTGACTTCTTATTATTAGACAGCACTGTATATATACTTAGTGTTTTACAATATGACGAAGGGCTTGCAGTCTCACGACAGAAGGTTTAAAGCAATAGGTTTTGGTACAGAGAAATCTAGTCATAAATGAGCCGATCCCGCAAAGACCTGAATGCTCTTAACTTGCATTGAGTTCAATGTGATTAGAATGTGTTCATACTTTGTAGTTTTCAATATTGTCAACCCCAATCATTCAAAAATCAGGAGTCAGATCCCCCCCCCCCACTCCAAATCATGAGATATTGACAACTAATCAGTTTGGGGTTCTTTTTATTTGCTGTCTGGTTTTTGAGTCCTTGGGGGGATATTTTCAAGCTTTTGTCTTTTTCTACCCTGAGGATTAGACATTTACCTTTTTAAAATGAAAACAGAGAGTCTCACATCATCCTCTGGCTCCAAGTGCTTGGACTTTAAGCAAAACACCAAATATCACAAGACATGTTATAACTGAAAGGGTTGGCAACACTGAATTACACCTCTACCCCGATATAACACGACCCGATATAACACGAATTCGGATATAATGCGGTAAAGCAGTGCTCCGGGGGAGCGGGGCTGTGCACTCCAGCGGATCAAAGGAAGTTCGATATAACGCGGTTTCACCTATAATGCGGTAAAATTTTTTGGCTCCCGAGGACAGCGTTATATCGGGGTAGAGGTGTATTATTCTTCACTGTAGTGCCTAGAAATCCCAACTAAGAGCAAGCCCACGTTGTGCTGGGGCAGTATTCTCCCCAGAGAGTACAATCTACATAGACAAGACAGGCAAAGGGTGGTAGAAAGGAAATAATATTATTCCCTTTTGACAGATGGGGAACTGAAGCACAGAGTTTAAGGATGGGATTTTCGAAGGTGCCCACTGTTGGCCCAGCTCTGCTTCCACTGAAGTCAATGGTAAAATTACCAATGGGAGCAGAGTTAGGCCAAATCTATGTGCTTTTGAAAATCCCACCCCATGTGACTTGCCCAAGGTCACACAGGAGATACTTGCCAAAGATAGGAATTGAACCCAGATATCCTGAACCTCAGCCCTGTGCCTTGACCACACAACCATACTTGAGGTGCTAAGCACCTCTCAAGATTGGACATAAGAACATAAAAACAGTCCCTACTGAGTCAGACTAAAGGTCCATCTAGCCCAGTATGCTGTCTTCCGACCGTGGCCAGTGCCAGGTGCCCCAGAGGGAATGAATAGAACAGGTAATCATCAAGTGATCCTCCGTGAATTTATCTAGTTCTTTTTTGAACCCTGTTATGGTCTTGGTCTTCACAACATCCTCTGGCAAGGAGTTCCACAGGTTGACTGTGTGTTGTGTGAAGAAATACTTCCTTTTATTTATTTTAAACCTGCTGCCTATTAATTTCATTTGACCCCTAGTTCTTGTGTTATGAGAAGTAGTAAACAACACTTCCTTATCTACTTTCCCTACACCCACTCTTAGAATTATTTATCATTTGGATAATGCTATTGCTGTACCTAATACTTTACAACAGGTAAGATCTGCTATGCAAAAAACTAAATAGAATACAATAGCCTTGACTGAGAATGTAAAAGTGTGAACAGGTACAGTAGACAAAGTGGCATAGGGGCTTTATTGCTGTCAGGCTACATGGAACGGGTGCGTTTTCAGAAGTGATTTAACGAGAATGAGTGTGCTTGCTTTCAGCACATTCATTAGGAGGCTGTTTCCAAGAGTAAAGGACAGCTTGAAAGGAGACAAAAACAGCAGATAAAACTGAAGACCAGACCGTGGCTGGCACATGCACAAGGGAGTAAAAAGGGCACAGCTTGTACAGGGTCACACCAGAACTGCAGTATCTATGCTGTCCTGAATGATGATGGGAGTGCTCCTTGCTAGCATCTCTTGGGGCATACATTACCACAAAGTGGACATAAGCCATGCTACTCTTTGTCACTCCATTCCACACCAACCAGCAGTGCTGCCTAGACATGCAAGGGAATGCCTTCCTGAGGAACAATGTCTTCTGGTGCTCCCACTAGGTGGTCCACACTACTCCAAGGCTGGGCTGTGCCTAAAAGGCTACATGCAGCCCTAATTGGCTCAACACAATATTGTGTGTATTTTCAATAGGACATTTGTATACTGAAATGTGTTCAAATCAATATCTGATAAAATCTGAAGGCGATCTCTGTAACAAATACTGGTGCATCATTATGTGGTTTAGTATAGTCCTATTTAATGAATAAATCTAGCATCTTATGGCAATATCCCAGTTCTGATAGGGTGATCCTGTGTCCAAATATGCTTCCAGCAGCAACATGAATTTTTGCACATTGCTACCATAAAGCTACAGTTATTATGGGGAGACAGCACTCTCTCCATAGGTAAGGTTGTACTTTGTTTTCTATACTCAGCCTTATTTTAATTAATAGATTTTAAAGACAGAACGTACCATTATTATCATCTACTCTGACCTCCTGCATTACACAGGCCACAGAACCTCACCCAATAATTTCTGAATCAACACTATAAATCCTTTTTGAGCTAAAACCACTGCAATGCCCCTAATTTTTCCCAAACAAAACCAATCCATCTACAATTTCTCATGTGATATTCCCGGGGGAATTCTGCACCAGTGCACAATGCAGAATTTTGCAGAAATTAATTTCCCCCACAGAAATGG